GTCATAATGTATTGCAAGTATAAACAAATGCGTAAGCATATTATAATAAAATCGTAAGGAAAAATAGGTTTATAAAACCATCGCGTATTTTCTTGTGTATTGTTCACGATTAATAAAACCTACACGAAACCCAGAAATTAATCTGAAACGAAATATTAAAAATATACATATTTTATGCACACCGCGCTTTATGGTAACTCGACGTATTTTTTTATTTATAATATTATTAATATTTAGGTTTAGGATTTATATATATTAGTACCTAAGTTACATTTAAAAAAAAATGGTTAGTTATGTTCATAAATAAAATTGGCTTATATTAATAAACGTGATCTATTTTGATTTTACATATTTTAAGTATAATGGAAATCATATTATTTAATGTGTTATTAAATTTTAAACACGATCAATGTATGTTTTATGTTACGTTTAAACACAATTAACGTAAAAAACTAGACACCACATTATAAATGATGCTTCTAATTTAAATTTATTAAAATCAATGGTTTTTTTTTTTATACGAAAAAAATTTGAAAATGTATTAGAAATGATATGAATTTATTTTAAAGTAAAGTCAGAAAATAAATTTAACATGGTAAAGCTAACAAAAATAATTAATGAACGTAAACTACATATAACATAATTTATTTTTGAATTATTTAATACAAAAAACTTCTGTTTCACTTAAAGAGGATTTGGAAATTACTAATTAATCCATCGTATATTGTATTTTATTTTACTTTATTATTTTTTTTTTTTTTTTTTGATTTGTTTTAGTATAATTTAAAAAAATTAAATAAATATTTCACTATTTTATATTGCATGTATAAATGCTATGCACGATAATTCACCCTATTCATTTAGGTACAACTAATTTGAACACGCCAGACTTTAATGTACATATTATATTTCAATACGTCATTACGATTTATATTATTATCATGATTTAAAGAACAACAATTCGTACAAAACATTGTCACGGGAATCCGACAAAAAGTTTAAGTCGAAGGGGAAAACAACAAATAAAAAAACTTTTGCTATTACATTGCTGCTGATAATATATTGGTTTTTCCTAAACATGCAACATTTCATGTGCTTGCTGGGACAAACGATACGCGTTTAAAATTTAAATAGGTAATACCAAAACCTACCTATTATACTATATTATATTCTAACGAATAATCGTACACGATATATAGATTTTCTAGATTTTCGGAAAATCTCCAACATCACGTACCTATATATTTCATATTATAACGGCACTATAATACGACGTGTAAGATAGGTAGGTCTAACAATATATTATATGCATGTAACGCCTGTGATGGTTTTTTTTTATTATTTTACAATGTTTCATGGATTATCGATCAAATCGGATGATATTATATATTTTCCATTGACGTTATATTATTAATGTCATCGCAAACAAAACATTATATTATATCCGTCCGTGACAAAACAGCCGTGACCTACGTGATTCGTATATAATGAATATATATATTTTTTTTTGTTTTTTTTTCCGCCGAATTTCGTTTATCGGCCCGCTCCGCGCGGACGACTGATTGGAATTTCGGAAAACCGCGTGCGCACCACAGCAAGTAGGACGGGCAGTGAAAACAATAACAAATACAAGTAGGTACGAACACGACGACGACGACGCACGGCCTGGTCAAATCGGTCCACAAAAAATATTGTGAGTTAGTTTTGACCGAGACAAAACCCATTTACTGCGATATTATTTTATGACCATAGTTATTGTACACAACGTTAGTTGCGATGCTGCGGCAGCTGTACAGAGGAGAATATTGTGTGCACAGATTTTCGGTTTTTCAATTTTCACCGCAACTGCATTTTGGTTGTAGTGGGCGTATGCACCCACTCGTACTACATATAATAATATAATTTATATACTAATAATAATAATAAGATTTTTGGTCCGATAGTCCGGTATTAGCAGCCGGTCACGTATCACCTCCGGTTCTAGGTCGATCCTGATAGATATATATATAATCCAACTGCCCGGCTCTACTTATATACATATTATATACCTAGCAGCAGCACCCGCACTGACCGTCCCGTGAAGAGAAAGAGAGAGGAACCGTGTCACATGGGACACAAAAATTATAAATAATATAATAATAATAATACAGAAACGGCACACACATAAACTCGCACACGCACACACGTAAGCACGATTCGTGTGACCTCGATCTGGATTTACACTCCGGGTATAGATCGGGCGTAGGTACAACACGTCCTATAATAGGTACCTATGGATCGCGGTGAAATTCGATCGGTAACTACTGGAAAAGAATTGTTGCGATTTTTTTTTTCTATTTTGTTTTTCAAAACGCCAACGCACTCGAGGGGTCAAAAAGCCACGGCCTCGGTCGGTCTACATTATTATGAGTAAAATAATACTGGCCATAACACACTGTATGTATATAGTATTGTAGTATGACTGCTGTAGTACGGCTTCACGACCGTCGCCGCAGAGTGGAACAAAAAACTATACAATAATAACATAATATTATAATGACGACGGCGCTCTGCAAAGACAATGCTGATAAATTGTCGAGAGACTATAATGTTATTATATTATTGCATACGAGCCAGTGATGATGGTGGTATACAATATAGGTACATACCAGCTACCGCAATAACGAACGCATATCCACCATAATATGTAATAATGTATATTGTGTTTTATTAACTCGCCATAATAATGTGGTCTAATCAAAAACGGAGATAAGTGAAAAAAATATACTTAACACGTGTCGAAACCATTAGCCACTTATGGTTTTTATATTTGTAATAATATAATAAGTCACTGCTGCGCTACTGCAGGGACACGCATATTATATTATCTATATACTTTAATACAGATACTCTGCAGTGGCGGCGAAGGTTCTGTGCGACTGTGTGTATAATATATTAATATTTTAACACTTTTAGTATACGGTCCCATTTGTCATAAAAATGTGTAAAATACGATCCTAAAGCAGCGTTTACACATGCGGTAGAGTCTTTGTTACTCAGAAACAGTTCGAGAACACGTGATTTTCTAATATTAGACGAAACTATATAAGATTTTATACATCGTGTACGCCTCTTAGCTAGCTAGGGAGAGGCCGGGACCGATTTCACGACTATTTTGGATTTTTCAAATGAAATGTCTACGCGTTCACAGTGTAACTACAAAATAATTAAAATTTCTGGCCGTCTATAACCGCTGTGCGCATGTAGTTTGGTTTGTAAGTGTTACAATAACTATTACTACTTGTATATATATATATATATATGTACAATAATCTATATAACACTGAAAAATTTGACGAACTATTTCAAGAGACGAATATCATATACCTACCAGCCATGTACTACGCTTGCTGCCCAAAATTCCAGCTCAAAGGATTTAGTGTTACATATATACTAAATTATATTGTATATGCATGCCTACATCGTGTGTAAAACACTGTATGGTGTATATAAATGTAATATTATACATTACTGCACTTACCAACGGTGTTGGGCATGTGTGTACATTATATTCAAAAGGCTCGAGGTGAACACCTCGCACGTTTCTATAGCGATATTAATATCATTATAGGTACGTGTTTTACGTTCAATACATAACAATATTGTTTTTTTATCCAACACAAGGGCTGTAGAAAAAAAAAACAAAAAAAAATGTCACATGCGTACCTATTCTTGTTACTATAATATATATTATATTGTATGTAGGTACACATTAATGCGCATTATCGTGAACTTTAATTTCGACTATAGGTACGAGTATACCCCACCTCGTTAAAATGTCAAATGAATAAAATAAATGTTAATCTTTTTCAGACCATGAAAACCACCGAGTACGATTTTAGAAACAAATCCACATTATAGCAAACCTCACTGAAATATTACGACCCGTTGTAAATGAAAACTACAATCGGTCATGTTATTATTTTTTAACGTGACATTGAATAATTGTAACGTTTATGTGTACACGCGTTCCGTGTTTTGTTATCAGCTATATAAATATTGTACATCTATATAAGTATATAATATATATAAATACATAACGTGCTTCCAAATTTCTGTGGAAAAAAAACTCTCAATCGATCCCCATCTCCGCCGTTTGCTAGCAAGCAGAGGTTGAATTTATCATTGCATTTACACAAATAGCCTTTTACTGAAACCAATTAAATTAGACTTAAAATTTAAATCACCCCCAAGCCTGTGTGTAGCGGTATATTTGGAACGGAAAACATAATCTTGGCGCTGTACTACCCTATGTTGCCCCGAGCGGAAATTTCATCAAAATATATGCCATTTAATTACTAAAGACTGAAAACAACGCCTGTTGGTGCCATGAAGGAGAGGCCGGAAATATACTAAATTATTCGTCAAGCATATAATACTTTCATTATTTTAACAAATTTAATTTAAAAAGTTAAAAATCTACGAACATATTGACATAAAAATTATGGATGCAATCTCTATTAACTACTTATTTATAAATTCAATACATCAATTAAATTTATATTATATCAATACATTTTCAATATTTTCAACCGTAATTTTTTAATATGTTTAAATGAGGATGACTAAAGACAGGTTAGTTGCTTACTCTATAAATTAACTAGGATTATCAAATTGTAGAATATAATTATCTTTCAAATTGATCCTTCAGATAATTTGAGGGTTAATATAAGCATCAAGGAATACAATTATCGTCTATTTTCCAAAAAAAAAAAAAAACCAGAGCTAAAAGAGCTTATAATAAATTAAATATCCTCTGAAGCACTTCAAGGTGTGTATCCTTACTTCTGTCAATTTTATATCTACACATATATTCCGAGTGAATTTATAAAATTTAATACATCTTTATAATATCCAAAAAATATTCCCGAAAAGTTTTTAGTTTCAAATTCATCCCACTCGAAGCTATAATAGCTATATTAACTGCAAGTTAATAATAATATACTATATTTCAAACTCACCAGTGTCTCTCAGGTTTCCGGCGAATTTATTAATCCACATTTGAACGTACGATGATAACACAAACAATATTAATTATCCAGGATAATAAAGTTATCCCGTCGTACTTATTGAAAATATCAACAATAAAAAGCGGTAAGGAAAAAATTAAAAAAAAAAAAAATCAAAACAAAATCAACGAAAATTAAATAGCAAACAAAACGTTCATTTCACTTCTCGGAATGATATTTACGAGTTGTATTGTAAATAAAGTTTGGTGTTTAATTGTTATAACGATTAGAAAGACAAATAAAATTAAAAATCAAACTATCTTTCGAACACAACTACGATCACGACCGACGGCGGCAACAAAACGAACCGGACACGAGAGAACAGCAAACTGACTGCTATGGTACCGTCGACGGACTTGGCGGGCGCGGCTTAGTATCGTCGGCGGTGGCGGACGACGGCTGTTCGTCCGGGGGAACACGCGGCGGCCGAGCCGGTGTTTTTCCTTCGTCCGAGCGGTTTGAGAGATAAAATGGGAAAAGCATAAATGCTCATATAAACAAAAATACAACAAAATAATATGGTAACATATCATTAATATTATTTTTATTATTCTACAGCAATATAGATATATTCAATAGTTGCTGGTACCTGTAATCGCTGTCCATACATACATCTCAAGATAATATAATATAATATATAGGTAACGATTTTATATATGGTTATGATTGATTGATCTTATTTTTATTATTATTATTATTTTTTTTTTTTTTTACGTTATAATATGTCTATACGGTTTCCTCTATGCCCGCGATTTTATACACGCGCGTCCTACCACGGACTACCTATTTGTTTGTTGAACCAAAACATCACTCGCGTGGTACGATTTATATTGAATTATCGTCCTTATTCTGCAAACGGCAACGACGAATACAGGTGACGACAACGACCGCGGGATGACAAAAATAATTTCTCGTTTTTTTATTTATTTTTCGATTATATAGCAACAATTGTACAACAATAAAATATCGAATATAAGTAAGTATGTATTATATTACATATATATATATATATTTTGTACCTATTTATTTATTATTATTTTTTGCTTTTCGTGTTGTTTGTCCGTAAAATACGCTTATGGGATGACACTATAATATTATATATCAATGATATATACGTGTATAATAACGTAATATTATAATTACAGATGAGTACCTATAGGTGCGCCTATCTACAAGATCGCCCATCGTACAGATTTAATAGTTTTTTTATTATGACTCTGGTCGAGATTTTTGGATACAATCGCTGAATCATATTATAGACTGACGGCTACTGCAAATCTATAAGATATCACATAAGAGTAACAAGAAAAAAGTGAAACAAATTGGTAATCGAGACGAAAATTTAAGTAAAAATTTATAAATATTTTAATAATAGTACCGTATGATTACTGTATGTTCTAAGATATGTTTCTACAACTAGTATCAACATTAGAATAAACATACTAGGAGGAGAAGTACGAAACGAATTTCTGTGTACTTACTTAATACAAATTCGTTCAAAAAAACTGAGTTTTAGAGGTAGAAAATATGTTTTGAAAACTTTGTTTTTAGACCATTTAGTATAAAATAATATGTTTATCCTAATTATATCGTTGTTGTAGAAACATTTCGTGTCTATACAATATATTCATGTCGTGTACGTATGTACAGTATATTGTACTCGAATAATACATTTTATTCTCACGTTTCAATATTGTAAAACGAAATTAATATTTTTATTTATACTGTGTTAATTGCAAATACTCTTTTTTACTATTTTTAAATCATGTTTTGCATGCGTTTTAATATCAATTGCTAAATAATATATTTTATTTTATACTTAATTTTATTTTTTTAACTAGTGACTCAATAAAATTACTTGAATTGACGGAATCCAACCTTCTGGGTTTTAATTACGATCATGGAAGTTTTTAGTATTTGATTTAATCCGTATTATAACCACAAGAGAATGTTACTTAAGGTCTTCTAAAACTGGATACAGGATTTTCATTTAACGAATAAAGTATAAGAAATCCATTAATGATTATTATACTTAAGTTGATATGGAGAACTACCTTTACAACCAAGCTTCATCTGGCAAATTTCCTATTTGCGCTACTATCAACTAGGTTGATAAATTCGATTCTATGAGGGGTTTTTGTTTTGTGTCATTTGTAGTAGGCACTTTAAATAAGCTATTTTACTCCTATAATGGCTAAGTTTTTTCTTCGACTTCAACAAGTCACCTAGAGAAGCAGCACAAAGTTCAACGAGTTGATCCAGCTTGGATCACTCAAAAACTAGCTCTCCTCTGTGTTCATATACATAACTATATTCTATTTTTTGTCTATAGTAGTGCCTTTTTTAGCCTAACAAAGTGTAGATCAGTTAGCTGTGGAGTATCGCATGTCTCTTTTAAACTGGACCATCCGTGTTGTGACATGTGGATTTGGCACTGTTCGATTAATACGGGTGTTTACTTGGTATATATACCTAGCTGTATGTATCATTCCGATAACATACCTGTATAAATGTATTTAATACAATATATGACATATTACTGTATATATGATGTAACTGAAAGAATTTACATAGATAATATTATGTACTTTAATTAACTGCTATGTAATATATTTTATTGCTAACAATTTTTAAAATTTAAATATAATAATAGATTTATAATAAGTTAAATATATTATATATAAAGAAAAAATATTAATCAGAACAAAAGTTATTACATAAATAGCTAGTTAATTATATTTGTTTGATATTTCTGTTATAATCTGTAACTTATAAGTGTATATAGTTGCATTCTTGAGTATAAATATACATATTATTTTTATAAAATTAGGATTTAGAAAGATGCGTGTATAGTTTATACTTATATTGTATGATTGTATAATATAAAATCATTTCCATTAGGCTATAAGATATTATGTCAAATAATTATGTACATAATACATAAATAATATATAAATTAAAACTATGATTATAAGGCCATCTACATTAGAATATTATTTATAATATACACTACAAAGTTTAATTATTTTAATAATATTTCTAAATTAGTGATGGTTTTAATAAAACATAATTTGAAACGCACGGTTATATGGATTATAATCTAATTGAATCTATATATATTTTTGTATATATGTATATAACCGTTATTTATTAATTCAATGAATCATAAATGACGAAAGTAAAATAATATGCTTGTATTAAATATATGCGTGCTTAATACTCTTGTATATATATATATATATAATATACATTATATATATCTATAGACTTATTATTATAAGGTACGTGAGTTTACGGTAAATTCGGTTCGTTCATTTGTTGTATAATAGTGTATATTATATATTATAGAAAATCAACTGCGCTATATAGTCAAAACTAACCTCGTTATAAAATTAAAAAATAAACACGTAGGTATAATTCTGGAGCGCATGCATAAAAATCAAACGTGCACACAAAAGAATTCTTAGTTTACAATAGAATACTTCTAGAGGAAAGAACTAGAGAAGGACATCGTTTATATTTATTCTAAATATAATATAAATAAATAGTTAAATAAATAAATAAGTATAATATATATGTTATACATGGGTACAGAGTACAGATAAGTGCCCATGTATAATAGACATATTATAAAGATTTTTGTAGAATAAGTATAATTTCGAGTTTATTCTTGACACGAATCTAGAGATTATTTTAAAGTCTGCGGTTGCCATTGCACCATAATTTGGAATTTTATTAATACCTAATAGGCAATAAGTTAAAATATATTTCTCGCTGTTCATTTTCTAAACAAAGTAAGTGTAAATTATTTTAATTAAACTTAATATTAGATGTAAGAGTATTCATTGTCACCTTCAGGATGCAATCACAATATAATATGTATAATTTTAAATATGATTAATTCTATCTTCTTGCCCGCTTGGAACAATAAGAAGAGTCGCAGTGTCATAATATACTCCGTGTGTGCATAATTATTTAATTAATTTAAATTAAATTCTAATACGAGAAAGGTAATAGTTGTTTCAAGGTTCAATACCTTAAATCTATATATTGTAATTATTATTTTTATAATTTATTCAAACGTATGAGTAATACCTCCCATTTAAATGAAAATTAGTGTAATAACAAAATATATTCATACACCTATATACTTACATAACAAAATTAAAACTCAGTCAAATAACCATGGTTGTTGTTAGTATTCATTTTCAAAATAATAAACTGTTTTAATCAGTATACTAATATAATATGAGTAAACATAATATGATTATAAAAAATTAAAACGTTAGCGCTTTTTTCATATTTTATGAATACATGATTAGTGATTACTAGGACTCGGATTTTGTAGCAAATGCTTCTTTTGAAGGGAGTGTAATAGAAAGATAGTTATTATATATAAATACGTTTTGAATCGTTCTAATTTCAATAAAGTAAGCTTTTCTTGCTTTTTTGGCTTTTTTCCACAAAACCTACTTTTTATTGCTTTTTCCCTTATTTGCTTCTTTTTTCTTATTTTTTACTAACCTGGTGACCCGCCAAGAAAGCTGAAAAGAAGTTGGTGCAGAGACCTAGCAATAACATAAAAATTATTAACTTTCATTACCCACAGATTTAAATCCCTCACACCATAAGTACTACTGTTAAGTAGTTCCTTAAACTCATGTAAACTCATGTAAATACACATAAACACCGCATATAATATGCTTATTGTAAACTAACTTTACAGATTGTATATTTTTCCAAATAAATGTTAAAAAAAAAAAAAAATTACTTATATTTCTTAAAAATTTAACTTATTTATAAGTTATAGACTAAAAATACTATATTATTATTGCCAGAAATTATAAAACAAGTGAAAGAACTAGTGATAAATGGATCACTGATAAAATAACTATCATTATTGTGCCGAAATTGTATAGTTTTAAAATTATCTGAATTATATCTGCGTATTTTTATAGCACATTCTAATACTTAATTTTACCAGTAAACATCAATCAGTGAGGTATAATATTTTAAATAATTTCTCTATAATCGTTGTTAGCACCCAATAGGATGAGTTTTAATGAAAGTAACTTGATCAAATATAAGGTCGTAAATTCCTTTTTTAATATTTTTTTTTTAACATTTTTAATTTAAATTTGTTTTTTTAGAATTTAATTTAATGAGTTCTTTTTTGCTTTTTTTTTTTTAGCTACTTAAAATGCTTTTTTAAGGATTTATTTTGCTACAAAATCCGAGCCCGAATGATTTCTATTGAATATAACCCAGGTTAGATTACGTCATATATTATATGTGTAGATATGATTCATCGAGTAATTAAAATATAAAAATTACTT